GAGAAAGAGGGGGAGGCTGCTGGAGGGAATAGGAAGGAGGGGCGCGCGGAGCGGGCGGGCGCCTGCGAGGCTCAAGCTCACACGCACGCCGCCTCTGTTTGTACACAGTGCGCTCTCGGCTCGCTCCCTCGCTCCCCGCCTGCTCACGCTTCATTGTTCTCTTAAGTCAGAAGCCCCGCAGCCGGCCGCGGCGCCGCCAGCAGAGCACACAGTCTGCGGGTCCGCCAGCGCGGGTGACCCCGAGCCACCGCTGGAGCCGGCGCCCGGCCCCCGCCCGCCGCGCCTCGTCTGGGACCCACCCGCAGAGGAGGCTGAGCCCGCTGGCGACTCCCCGGAGCTCGCCCACCTCCCAGCGCCCCGGAGCGCAGGCAAAAGGGGAAGAAAGATTCCTCTCTTTGGTCGCCACTCTTTCTTGCTCTCTCCAAGAATTTGTTTAAGGAGACGCTGCAGGAAAAAGACATCATCTTGAATCCTCTGTCGGGGCGGGGTCTGCCGCTGCCCTGCGGTGCAGCCTCAGCGACACTACCCTCCACTAGGACCCCTGACCAGCGGGGTCACGTCCGAGAGACGGGATCATGAAGCGCTCGGTGGCTGCTTGGCTCCTGCTTGGGCTCAGCCTTGGTGTCCCTCAGTTCTGCAAAGGTGAGGCGACGGCCCCGGGCGCCGGTTGCGGGACAGGCAGAGAGTCCCCTGGGAAACGCTGCGCAGGGGGCTCCAGGGGTGGCGAGCGCCGTGCGCGGCACCGAGGAGGCTGCGCCCTGTCCTGCGTGCCCAGGAAAAGTGCTCGCAAAGTCAGAGCGGAGTGTGCGGGGCTGAGACGGGAAGAGGGTGTGGGGTACCCAGATGAGATAGAGGAAGGACGGGGATGCAGGGGAGGCGGGAGGGAAGCCAGATCTTCCACGGCTTACTTGGCCCCCGCGTAGCCACGCGAGCCCTCCCTGGGCAGTGTGGGTGATGCCGGCTCCCGGCTCCAGACGGGGCTTTCGCTGGGGAGCGAGGGAAGCGAGAGTGCCCCGGGAGTGGAGGAGTGGAAAGGGGAAGAGTGCCTTAGGGCTGTCCGCCTCCAGGGTGCTGTGCTCTGGTGCCCGGCCCACGCCAAGCAGTTTGCAAATCCGAACCCGGTGCTGGGAGTTTGGGCGGTGGGTGCGGTGGAGACGGGTCTGATAAGTCAGTTTGGCTTTCTCCCATCTCCCCATCCTGGAGGCGCAGCACCAATAGCAGAAAAACCCCAGGAACCCGCCCTTCCTGTAGCCCAAAGGGCCTCAAGCTTTGCTCAGCATACCCTCCTGGTAGGAGCCTAACTCTTGGTAATAGGGAATCTTGCGTTGCGAGACAACCCTGGCGCCCCCGCCCAAGAGCGGAAAAGTTGTAAGAGGTGGTCTGGTGGTGGTTTTCATGAATTGCATGAAATAAACCAGTCTGTTAAAAAAAACAACAACAACAACACAGGACTTTGAAGAGTCTCCTGCTGAGTTGCGTAGTTGGCTTCCAGGTCCCTGGGAAGGATGGCCTGTCAATACAAGCCTTGGTCTTGGTTCCATGTAAGCTCGCGTTGGCATTGAAGTTGGAGCCTGGAAAGGGCAGGGGAGCTGCAGGGACTCTGGGTAGGTTGCTCGAGGCGGACCCGAGTCCCTTCTGCGCCCACATACACAGGCGGCTCCTTCTGTGCGTTCAGTGGGTAATGAAACCCTCCGCAGGCTGCTTCAAGTGGAGAGCTGAGTGCACTACAGGGTTTAAAATGCTGTGCCTCTTAAAAAAATGTGGCTGGATTAAAAAATGCATTGACTCAAATCCATTTGAGATTAGACGCTGAATGAATATTCTACACCATTCATCCACGCACCCATCCGTCTATTTGTTTCACAGGAAAATTGTGAACTCTTGGGCTACTGTTTGCCTAAGAAGCCGGGTGTTCCTGGCCAGATGCCCTCGGTGCCCTACCAGTAGCTATCCAGGCCGCACCTTTCCTCGGCCTCCCTCCCTCCCCCAGAATGTGGCTATTTCCCCCTGCGAGTAGGTGTGTGCCTCGCCCGCGTTTACTATGTGCCCTTCCAGTTATCAGACAGAGGCAGCCAGCCACTCCACTGAAGGTAAAGGAACGGTAATGGCTCTGTAGTTGCACTGCGGACTGCCCCAGCTATACGAAAAAGACAGTGCTTCCACTACCGATATTTCTCCTTTCTTTCATTTCCCGTCTGGATTTCTTCTGCACTTTGATCCCTCAG